GCACGAGATTATGAAAATCTTGGCGAACACCCTAATAAAATAAACCATCTAGTCCCTATTATCTTTCTTTCATAATAACTTGAGAGACCTTACATTTTTAAATAAACACTAACGCGAACGCCTAATATAATAGTTTCCATTGAGTACAACGGACGTGAGGAGTGTTAATACATTCTCCTTGCGTAACTGACTCCCAAACTCATATATTGGTTGTGATGACCATATGTCTTTTCCTTTTGTTTAGGAGTTTTATCGAACCGTTTCTCTATTTGAAAATAAATAAAGTTTGGTGGAGACTATGTTAAGTCCATCCCGCGAGCTTGTGATTGCGCTTCACGAGGTCTTCTCATTTTTTGAGGTACGACATGGTTGTATTTTTAAATAAGACAATGATATAAATTAAATTGGTATGAGACAAATTGTTAAATAGAACAAAGTTGCATTTTATTAATCAATAGTACATTTTGTTTCATACATTACCTACATATGGCAAAATTACAATACAAAATAAAATAACAAAAAATATCTCCAAGATTGTTGGAGGCCCGTGCATTTCCCCATAGCATACTCATCATGTGCTCCCACACATACCTCATCATCACCAATTTTTTGACCCTATGTTATCCCATCTTGCATTGAACATAAGTATGTGAATTCAAATATCATCCATACACACATTTGAAGTCACCAACACAACACATAACCATATCAATGTAGCATCACATATAACATACATGTCTCCATTTTAAAATAAAAATAAAAATTTGAATTCAGCATAGCACGTGTGAAGATTTCATCATACACATTATCAACAATATTCCCACATACATATCTTTTTAACTGAAATAAAAATCAAGCCCAGAGAACTAAGCTGCAAAAACACGTGAGTTATATGGCACCAAGCATCATCATCATCACAAACATTACCATACATTTCATCAAACAAGTATCCATGCATACATCAATTCAATTAAAATCAAAAGAAAATAAAAAACTCAGCAAGCAAATACGTGTGAACAATCAACAATATCACATACCATTCAGAATTATTATTCAATCATACATAACAAACACAAATTATCACTGATAAAAAAAATAGCAAGTGTACTATTTTTTTCGATTGTAGTTAAAATAAGGGGTTTATTCCCAGAATCGATCTCGAGAACTGTGTAGGAATATAAGTTCTAATACTAATTCAATTAAACAAAAAGTAATTGGGGGTTTGATAATTGTTTTTATAATTAAAATTTTGCAATGAGAAAATAAAGCAGAGAAATAAAATTGAGTTTTGAACAGATATGAGAAGCATGATAGGGTACAGTGTATGAATTGTCTTGTAACAACCTTAATCCTCATTTCAGAGACATGGCTTAAATCTATCAATTTCTTAACTATAAGTTGTTTACTCCTAAATCCTTAGTGAGAAAACCTTTGATTTCATAACCTAATTACTATGTCCGTAGGTAATTACGTTTGAAATCAAGCATTACATATAATATCAACAGTGTTCCAAGTGCAACAGAGTATTTCTAGTCCTGGGTAATATTTATTGATGCATTATCGTACAAAAGCGTTAACAAAGGTTTGTCCGACCTAAGGTTAACCGTAAACCAAATTCTATTTGTCCGATAGAAAAAGCATTAAGAATATTGAACGATAAAAATGATTATGAAAATAAGCACTTATGTCATTAAACCAAGAAAAATAATATCATTACAAAAGCAATTCAGGGACACCCCTTAGCATTGATGGGTTTAGATACTCATAATATTCAAAGAAAATACAAAGTAAAAATTAGACATTACAAGATAATAGGATTACTTTGATCTTCAATTGCTTCCGCTCATAAAAACCCTAAGTTCTCCCATCACCATGATTTCTCCAATCTTGATCGTGTAATTCTTCTCCCGTTAAAAAAGTGACTCTTCCCATTCCTCCAACTCTTCTAAATAGAAAAAACTCAAATAACAGTAGGTGGAAATCCCAAAAATGTCCTCCAGGTCAACATTCAGTAAAAAGTAACAAAAAATGGGAAAATCAGCGTCCAAGCCAACATGGACGGTCATGTTGGCTCCTTGTAATATGTACAAAACTTTCTTAGTGTCAGACATAGTGACACGGGCCGTGTCAGCCCCTCGATTCCACATTTTCTTCATCTTTTTCCTTGGCACAATTCCTCCTCCTGACACAGTCCGTGTCAGGTGACACGGGTGGCCGTGTCAGGCCTCTTGTACTCTAAAATTTGGCTTTTATAATTCTTGCGATTTTTTCTAGTTTACACTCTGATTCTTCCTGAATGCTCACCTGAACCTAAAAACTCTGGGAAGACACAACCAAGGCCTAAAGTGCAGTAAATGGAAATAAAATGCAACTAAATATATAAGAAGATTAACTAAAATTAACGGTAAAATAACGCATAAAAACCACCGATCAAACTCCCCCAAACTTAAATCATTGCTTGACCTCAAACAACAAGCTTTCATAAAGATTTTTCAGATCAAACGGTATACATCAAATGAAAGACTTGTGAAGGTAAGGTGGGTCGATACTCATACGTGAGTCTTTGTTCCGATCAGCTAAAACTAGTTCTCTTGGTAATCATCCGTTAACGAAGGTATTACACAAACAAATACCGCGGTAAAACCACGAACCTAAATTCCCTTTTCGTTTACCTCTTCAACTATGCTTTGGGCTTAAGCCTTTTCTTTGATTTTCTACCCTTTTCATTCTGATAATCAGATTAAGGCATTTTTGATCGTTTTCCCTCACATGTCCAAAATTGATCAAGACTTTTTCTAAGCACCTCTATTTTTCCTCGCGCATTGGCTTTCATTAGTCCACTAACTATTGAGACTCAACATCTGTAAGGTTAAGTAACCGGGTGAGGGTTACCCAACTTAGAAGGACTAGTTGTCTTTATTGCCATTATTCAAATCCTTTTTTTCAGTTCCTTAAGTCATTTTCTCAATCAACCATATACATGTAATTCTTTTTAATCATGTCGGACTATCACTAAGAACTAATTGGGGAATACTTCTCAAATCCAAGTACTATGGCACAAATGTACATGTTGAACTCGTTTCCTTACTCCGGGGAATCAAGGGTGTTCAGGTTATACCTCAATTTCCAAACTTTCTTAATGTCCTTAATTCTATCTCTTCTTCCCTCAACCTCTGTATACTTTCTTGACTACCTCACTAGCACAATATTCACAAGAAAAAATTTTACGGTCCTAATTCGGAGAGAATTCAAAGAGGTTTTTAAACAAAAGCACATAAAACACAAATAAAAAGTACTTAAAAGTAAATTTAAAACAGTGAATCCTCCCCCAAACTTGAACTAAACATTGGCCTCAATGTTTTAGAACAAGAAAAAGAGGCGTAACTCACAAAGATTCTTACTAAGGAGGCGAAGGGTAATGCAACACCAATTGCTACATCATAGCTTACACCTGTAAGGTCTCGTAACAAAATAAACAACAAAAAGAAAATTCTCAATCATTAAAAACGTGAGTTGCCTCCCACGCAGCGCTTTGTTTAACGTCACATGGCTCGAAGGTTCACTTTCATTGTTATGAGGGATATTTTAGCTTCCACACTCTATTGCTTAACCTCTTCGCAATAAAGAGTCGGTCAAGTTCAAAGATAAGAGCTACTTTGTGTCTCAAGTCACCTCCAACTTCCATATTCTTCCTTTGATGTTCCTTTTTATTTCTCTTCTTGACTTCTTGAATGAACCTTGGAGTTTTGCTATGTGTCATAAATGACTGAGATACTGCAAACTAAGAGATTATGCCAGAGACTTTTTCATGAGATGGCTTTGAACTTTTGCTTTTTCCCACTATTTGGATCATTCCAACTGGAGCTTAATTATCTTCCTCTTCACCCCGCTTCTTGATCTTCTTAATATCAATGGTTGTTGTAAAGTTTGATGAGTCACCCGCAGTTGTATCAATGAGTTGCTTAATCTTTATCCTGAGATCATTCACAAACATTTGAATCTGTTCAGTTTAATCCATGTTGTGAGTAGGGAATGCTACCAGAACGTTCTTGAACTTTTTGTAGGCATCGCCAAGTGATTCCCTTTCCTTTTGCTTAAAATTCATAATATCATATATTTTTCAAATATACACATAGGCATAGGCAGTAAAATACTCATTAAGATGATTTATCATTTTAGTTTTAGTAAGAACACAACTCTCCTCTATTATATTTCAAAAGTGCAACAACCTGAGTTTGCAACAGTGATAGACATTAACCAATTAAGGAACACTCTAATGGTTGAAAAAACAATGAATTAAGTGAAATGCCATAATCTTGGTTACCAACTACTCTACCAAACAGATAAAGCAGATGGACTCGTGGTTTAAGTGATCCATAGCATTCAAACTAATATTTTTGTGTGTTTGTGTTCCTTGGATCGGTCATATGGTTAATATGCATGATGCAGGGTTTTCTAGATGTATCCCCCGGCTTACCTCTGAAATAGGAGTATGTGATGAATCATAAATTTGAACACCTGACATAGCTGAAAACCTGAAAGGGCTTACCTTTGCCATCCAATTCTAGAAACAATTCTAAAAAGAAATATCAGCTTTTTTTTCTTTCAACAAGGAAGATAACATTTGCATAAGAACCCGCCATTGATTATATAGCTAGATTGTCACCCCAACCTCATAACAGCTTAATAGAGGAAAATCTCCTCTCTTGACCTGTGTTGGTTTTAAGCTCATAATTTTTTTTCTTCATAGTTATATATGCTCATAAAATCTATATTCAAAGTACACACAATTTAAGCACATTTTGAAATAAAGCTAAAAATTTCAATATGACAATGTTTCTTCTCTTAAAATACAGTACCTTACACAAGCAACAATAAATCATGTGCAAGTATCTTTCTGAAAATGTGATCAAAATCATATCCTACATTAAAAACTAAACATCATTGATATTCTTTCTTAAAATGTGATCAAAATCAGACCCTAAATTTAAAACTAAACATCACTGAGAGTCCTCTGCAGACTGACAAACAGGGAGATAGTATGTATCAAGCTGCCAGTATCTGTGTTTAACACCTTCCCAAACTTGTTCCCCCAAGCAATCCTTAACAGGCAAGGGAATTAATTGTGTGGAATACCCCAAATTCTCAAGCTCAAGAGATACCAAATGGCAGTAAACAACATGGAAAAATGCATTACCACCACATAGGCCATTGAAGAAAGAATAAACTCCATCCGGTTTCAACAATACTGGGAGATGTTGGTGGAACTCTCTCAAATCTTCATAGTACTCCCCATAGGTGTCAAAGAATATCCCTGAAAACAAAAAATCAAAACAAATGGTACACGTCAAAAAGTTTAGCAGCACACTCCAGCTACAAATAAACCAGACATTGGAACCAAAAAAAAAAAAAAAACTTAATTGCAACTTTAGTCCCCCTATTTTGTTTTTTGTGTTGGGTTTTAATCCCCAAAAAGGGACCAAAATCATGATTTTTAAAATGGAGGACTAAAACCCAAAAAAAAGTCAAAATAGGGGGACCAAAAATGCAATTAAGAAAAAAGGAAAAAAAAACTCTCTTAAGTTTTTCACATAAGTAAACACACATTTTTGAAAAGTATCTAAAAAACAGATAAACCTTCCACATATCTCCAAATATCTTTGCTGCAAAAAATAACATCAAATAAGTGTTTTTCATTTCTGTCAAACAAACCTGATTTTACCTTCCATACTTAGTTTGATTAGAAGTGATTAAAACTTAAAAGTAGCCATTATGTTGAATTAGAAAATCAACAAAATCTTTTTATCAAACTTGCTTTCAAGAGTTAAGTTATCCAAACATAAACACTTTAATAACAAACTCTATTTAAAAATCAGAACTACGTTTATCAAAAGCTCTCCCAATTTCCCAAACACACACTTAAAAACAGCTATACACAAACAATTCTAGTGCTGCAATTAAACATTGATGTTTATACTTTATGCACGCACGGGTTAGCAATTACCATCATATGTTTCAAGCTGAGACAAAACATCTTGCCAGCGGCCAAAAATAATCTTCACATTTTCCTTCTGACCCCAACCATCGCGAAGCATGCGTTCATAAACCTCTGGATGAGCCTCAACAATGGTGTGTTTCACGGGTGAATATTGCTGTATAGCTGTATCAACAAGACCCATTCCAAATCCAATATTGAGCACATGACCACCTCCTAAACAAACAGCTTTAGCATGAGCCTCCATCAATGGCTTCTCCCATGCCATCATCACAGCTTTACTTTCAGAATCCATAACTTTATCTTCACTAAAACTTACCCTATCTTCCAAATAATCATATCCAGAATCGGTGTTTTTCTTTTCCTTCCTAGCAATTGTTCCCAGCACTAATTCAGATCGAATCCCTAACAAAGTAAATTACACACAACACAACTCAGTGAAATTTCAAATACGGCGCAGTGTGTTAATTAATAAGGCGTAAAGAGTGGTTTGAATTTGGTACCGGCATTGAGGAGAAGCTCGTAGGCTTCTTGGTGACCTTCTTGCATTGCGAAATCACCGGCGGATAAGTTGGAAGGAGAAAGAGCGTTCCAAGGAGCGCCGGCGGAGATAAGGATGTCGAGGATGGGTGCATAGCCGTGCTTTGCAGCGTGCATAAGAGGAGTTAGACCATCTCCGTCGAAATAGGTAACGTCGGCGCCGGACTCAATAAGAGCCGTTACCTTCTCCGTTTCACCCTTAATCGCCGCCGCGCGTAGTTCTTCTTCCTTCATTTTGCGCCACTTCTAACTTCTAACCCCAAAACCTCATCATTTCTTCTTCCTTTATTTTTTAATTTTAAATTATTATTCTTTTTAACAAAATTGTTTTAAATAAATATACAATCTTAAGTTTTAAATTTCAATCAAAGTATATTTTATAAGATTTATGTCATATTATGAATTTTGTTTAAAATATCTACCTTTTTTTAAAATTAAATATCGAAATAAAGTGTCAGTCAAAACACATATGTAAAAGTTTATTTGTCGTAGATATAGTTTTTGTACATGATTACTTATTGTTAATAATAAAATATAAATTATGGACATAAAACATAATATAATTTTAAATAGTTACACAAATGGACTATTGAAATTGCAATACATTGAATTCATTAAAACTAACAAGAAAAATAGTAAAAAAGAATTTAAAAGCTCTTATCTTTAGCTAGTCTTCTGTCTATTATGTTAAGACATGGTTATAAAAAACTCAATCTAAATATTTATGATTCTATTTTATTTTTTTTCCCCCTATTTCCTATCGGTGGCTATAGTAACTTTGGTGTTATTCCATCATTTTTATTTGCATTAGTCTCTTTCTCTTGTACCGGTGTACATTATTCACGCGTCTCTTCGTAATCAGATTCTTCTTCATCAACCCCTTCTTTTTCCTTTCCAATTTGTTTTGGTTCTGCTTCAGCATCTTTCTTAAGGTGTTCCTTGTTCAGCTTATGAACTATATTTTTCACAAACTCCTCAAGTTCTTTTTCATATTCTTCTTCCATCTCAACATCTTCATCATCTTTCTCATCAGCCTTGTCTTATACCACTTCTTTATCCTGGTTAGCTTGCTTTATACCTTCATTAATTCCCTCTTCTTCTTTAGCTTCACTTTGAACATCTCTTTCAATTAGCACTTCTTCTTAATCAAACTCATTAATATCAAAAAAATCAAGGGTCTTCTTTTGGTTTTTCTTTTCTTTCCTAATTGGAGAGGTTTTTGCATTCACTGGAATTTTAACTTTCCTTTTCTTTTATGTTGTGGAAACCACCGAAGGCACGGCAAAATTCACATTTGGTGCAACAATTTTCTTGGGAAAAGACACCTACTTTTTGCTCCCTTCCCTTTGACCCTTTATTGCGTGAATCTTCTCCAGATTTGTCTCTTTAGTTTCAACATTTAAATTTCCCATGATATGATTTGATACTGAAAGAGGCCTGTTCATCACTCCTCCCTTGTGCAGGGAGTACAATCTTTTATGTCATGTGTGTTGTACTTTTTTGAATTTTTTGAATTCTCTTTGGTATTTATGCATTTGTTGCATAAGGTCCAATAAGATTTCCTCTTTGGTTTTGGAGGATGATGCTTATGACAACTTCTGATATGCCCCTGAGGGTATCTTTTTATCATCTTTTAGTTTTAGGAGATTTAAAATAACATATTTGTCAAAGCCTACCTGAGGGTTGGAGAATTCATTTGTGGCCTTTCAGGAACTCCACGTCTTTTGCAAATATGTGTGATTAAACATGGGAAGTAAAGCATTCATTCCTTCCTTTTTGCACAAGCTTGAAATTCGTTTTACAACTTCTAACCCTCTCTAAGTATCTATAGTTATAGTAATTTTTTAAAATTATTTTTAGTATTCAATTGAAGCATTTGATGGGACACATATTCCAGTAACAATTACTGCAAAAGGTAGGTCTAGATACCATAATAGAAGGGGTGACATATCTACAAATGTGTTAGGAGTTTGTGGTCCAGATTTAAGGTTCGTCTATGTGTTACTAGGGTAGGAAGGGTCTGCAGGAGATTCCCGAGTATTCTGAGATGCTTTACGTCGTCAAAATTGTCTATGAATTCCAAATGGTAATAAATTGAAATTTTATTTATTTAGTGGATCAAATGTAACTATGTGATATTTTTCTTTATTTTGAAAATAAAATCATTATAGGTAAATACTTTTTTGTGGATGCGAGATATACAAATGGTCTTGAATTTTTAGCACCATATAGAGGGACTACATATCATCTCAAAGAGTGAGTTGGAAACACTCCTTAAAATTACAAGGAGTTGTTTAATGTTCGCCATTCAAATACAAGGAATGTAATTGAAAGGTCATTTGGGATATTGAAGAAAAGATGGGGAATATTAATAACTCCTTCTTTTTTTGATATAAAACTCAAGTTAGAATTATTAATGCTTGCTTTGTGTTGCACAATTTCATAATAGATGAAAAACAAAGTGATTAGTTTTTAGAGGCTCGAGACTTGGATCTTTCATAATTTTCAACCTTTCAATATCAAACTAAACATGAACACACTACCCCGGAAACATAGTGAGCATAACTCAATAACATAGAATTTTAAGTTCAAAGATGTTTTCTAGCTATGTTATTGTGCTAAGCAAGGAAAATTCCTCCAAATGAAATTTTAAAATTTACCATGTAAAATCCTTCATTCCCAACTCATTTCAGAATACATAATAAGTTCATCATATGATTATATATTTGGTAATGTTTCTTCTCAACCGATATTTTAGATCTAAGTCATGATTTATCATAAACATGATATGTGAGTCCTTTAGGAGTTGGGACTAAGAATACACATAATTATAAGGTTCATTTTGTTCGTTCATTGTGTTAACAACTTCTTGCGAGTGCGTATGTACCCAGGAGAAAGTTGCCTACTATTAAATTACGTTAAAAAGCGGTAAATAATGTCCACCTACTACTTTGGTGAACGGTTATTTAAGGTATTTCTTGTTTTCAGAGGTTACCTTATCTAGCCCCTACTTTTCCATTTTATAAGTCACTCTTATTACTTTTATATGATATTTAGATGCATAATTACACATCTATTAATCATCTTTATCTTTCATCATTCTTTGATATTATGTATATTGTCTACCTATCATGCATATGCATAGTGTATATTAGAAATTCTATTTCATATTCACTACTACAAAATATATCTTTGGTAACACCATATTACCACGGCCGTTTAAACAATCATAGTAATAACTCATTTTTGCGTGCCTGATTTTTTATTTTCATTTTATTAAAAGACAATTCATCACGGTATTTAACAACTACCATTGTGATAGATGAAAGGATACTTGCTTTGATTCCCAATACCAATAATTTTTTATTTTTTCTCATTACAAAAAGAGCTTGTCCTTATAGTCTTATAAAAATATTAATATTAAAATACTTATTACCACGGTTATTACCAAAAACTGTTATGAATAGTAATTACATTTTATCATAGCTTTTGTTAACAACCATGGTCATAATATATATATATATATATATATATATATATATATATATATATATATATATATATATATATATATATATATATATATATATATATATATATATATATATATATATATATATATATATATATATATATATATATATATATATATATATATATATATATATATATATATATATATATATAAGCAAAGTTATCAAGCTTCAACACAGAACAGTCGTCACTCTCAAAATAAAATCCAAACATCTTTCTCTTTCACATGCAGTGAACTCGTCCTCATAAGCTTCTTTATACTAAAAGGTAATCAAGTTCATACGCTTTATCTTTCTTCTTTTTCTTCATAAGCTTTCTTCCATTTTTCACTTGCCTTATATTGTTTCTTCATAGCAACACAAAGTAAATCGACTTCAGTTCATTCAGATACAAGTAGATCATTTCTCCGTCTTTATTTTCCATTAATATTTTCAATAAAAGGTACGTCCGTGAAATATTTTATGAGTTGATACGTTGTTGTATGTTGTTTTTATTGTTGATAAATGTTGTTAAATGTTGTTGTTGTTGTTGATAAATGTTCCCTAAAACAAGAACAAAACATTACTAAGTCACAAGAAAAAACCTTCTTGCGACTTAGCAATGTTTTGTTTTTGCGAATCTTGCAACATTAATTTCTTATACAGATTGACAAAAGATCTAGTTAAGTTCATTATATCTTATGTAGGTTGTTTGTCTCACTAACCTCTCAAAGACGACCATTCTTGTATTACTTTCCATTCCGTTAAAATAGAAATATTCGATTTACTGTCATTCATGACACCATCATCATCAAACCTAAGTCTCTTCCGATGAGTGCAATCCTTGTCCATTCTTATTGAGTCACAAAGTTTAACCTTTTTATCAATAACATAAGCACATGGGATACCATATGTTTTCACAATTGTGCATCCATATTTTGCACTATCGGAGCCTACATTGTCAACTTGTTTAGCCTCGTGAAAAATATATTTCAAACCCACCCGAGAAATGTTATCGACCAACTGAAAACATAAAGTATTGTCTTTAAATATGTGTTCCAAAACTGTGATGCTCTGACCAAATGATGTTTGTATCTCATTATGCTGGTTTTGGATCATGTGGTTCACGGAGTCCCATTCTCTACACAAATCACACTTACTATTTTTCAACCAATTTTTCAAAGTAGCATGGGCAGAATCAACTCTGTTAGCTGTTGTGTTTCTAAGGTTTCTAACATTACAAGTGTGAGATATCAGATCGAACTCTAGTATGTTGTTGGAGTAATGTGTGTTGTAGTCGAAGTTTGTTCTAACATGCATTAGTCAATATTGCTAGGTTTATTAACATGTTGAATTGGGTCTTGCTTGTAAGCCCAATTGCTTAAGTTAACTTGTACCTTAAGTTAGCTTGTAGTGGGTAATTGTTAAAAAGCTCATTAGGTTAGTGTGTTATTTTTCTTATAAATAACATGGTAGTATTTCATCTCGTATAAGGAAAAATAGGAAGATAAAACCCTAATTCAAGAGAGATAGGTTATTTGTTATTCTTGTATACTTGTAATCTTGTTTGATAGAGAAAGGAAAGAATAACAGTTTATAACCAATCCTTGTTGTTTTCCCTTGTTTTCTTTGTTAACCTTAATCCTTGTGTGTTTCTTGGCTATAAAGAAACCATTTATATTCTATTTCAAGGGATCCTATTCATAATAAATTGGTGCAGTG